CGGCGGAGCCGTGCGGGGCGCGCCGGGGGCGCCGACAGGTACGGCGGGGCGGGCGGGGAGCGCCTCCGCACCCCCCTCCCGAAGCGCGGTGGTCGGGCCCAACCGAGCGCCCCTCCCGGCGCGGCTGGGAGCGGCTGTACCACGGCAGCGGGAAGGGGGGTGGCGGCCGGCCGGGCCTCGGAGACGGAGCGCGCCCTCGCTCCGGCCGCTGCCCTCCTCGGAGGCGGTGACGGGGCGGCTCTCGTCTTGTCTCGCAGGCCCGCGGAGGTGGCGGCGGCGGCAGCACCGGGCGGGCCCCAGCCATGGCCGACGTGAGTGCGGCTCCGCGGGGCGGGCGGGACGCGGGCGGGACGCGGGCGGTGGCTGCTGGCGGGGGTGGGGTCGGGGATGCCGAGGTCGGGCCGGGCCGGGCGGGTCGGGAGCTCCGGAGGTGCCCCGCCCGCTCCGAGCGGCCGCGAGTAACGCGGCGCCCGTCTCTGCCCGCAGGACCTGAAGCGGTTCCTGTACAAGAAGCTGCCGAGGTAACGCGGGGCCGTGCGGGGCGGGCGGCGGGGCCGTGCGGCGCCAGCCCGCTGCCTCGGGCAGGGACACTTCCCCTTCAGAGCCCCGTCAGCCTGGCCATGAGTAGCTCCAGGGTGGGGGGTATCCGCAGCCGCCCTGGGCAACGGGATTCCAGTATTCCTATTTCTTCTAGTATTCCTATTTCTTTCTAATATCTAACCTGAATTTCCTGGGTTTCAATTTGTACCCATTACTCCTTGTCCTGCCACTGCAGTCCCTCTCCAGCTTCCCTGTAAAGCCCCTTCAGACAGCAGAAGGTTGCTGTGAGGTCTCCACCCAACCTTCCCTTCTCCCGGCTGAACAGCCCCAACTCCCTCAGCCTGTCTTTGCAGGGGAAGTGCTCCAGCCCTCTTATCAGCTTCACGGCTTCCTCTGGACCTGCTCCAGCAGATCCATGTCCTCCTTATTATTGGGGCCACCAGACCTGTACTAAACAGAATAAATATTAATTAATGAAGGCATCAGGTTTTTTTTTTTTTCAATTTTTCCCATTTCTTGCACATTTGTTCACACAAAAAACCCTTTGCTACTGTGTTTTTAAAATGGTGTCTCTTCCTCCTTTTTCAGTGTTGAAGGTCTTCATGCTATTGTAGTCTCAGATAGAGATGGTGTGCCTGTTATCAAAGGTAACTTCAGCTTCTCGCTGTGCTCTGCAGCTGAAATCCTGATTGAACAGCAGGGGGTGGAGAAGTACAGAAAAGTCCTCCTGGTTATGCCAAATACCCGAATATCCCAAGTGGTAGAATTAAATTGGACTTTAAATAATTAAAGTTCAGTAGTTGATTATGTTTCTCTTTAAATATATCCTTTTGTTTGTGCCTTCAGTAATTGTAGTCCATGGAAGTTTTTCTCCATGACAGGGGTTGGAGTGCAGTAAGGTCCTTGGATCTTCAAGTCCCTCACAGGCTGATTGACACTAAGTAGTAGAGAGAGCTCGGCAGTGTTTTGTTGGCCTTTTTGGTACTGTAGTTTTTATGTTCTGCAGTCCTTGTTTCAGATGTTTTTGGCTTGTGAGTACAGTAGTTTAAGGATACAAAGATTCAAGTATTGCAGATTTATTTTGTTCGGTGCCCGGAGTATTCAAACACCCAGCAGGACTTGCACATCGTCACCTGTCTGCAGTCAAGTCACTGTGTGCCAGTAATCGGTTCAAAGGCTGGAATGGGTGCAATGGCACATGGAACCAAAGGGACGTCAGCAAAGGCATCCTAAAGGAAAAGGATTAAATATTTCTTAGGTGTGCTAGGAAGGATGGTGGTATAATGAGCTTTGATCATACAGAGAGCATTAAATTATTTCACAGCTCGTGAAAACGGTCTGGTGTTCCTGTGGGAGCACCTCAGATGTGTTACATGTTTCTCTGCCTTTGGCAGAGCGCTGAGCTGCATGAGGGTTTGGGATGCAGTCAGAGACACCATGTAAAGATAAGGATTTTCTTGTTTTGTTCTAGTTGCCAATGATAATGCTCCAGAGCACGCACTGCGACCTGGCTTTTTGTCCACCTTTGCCCTTGCCACAGATCAGGGCAGTAAGTTAGGACTCTCCAAAAACAAAAGTATCATCTGCTATTACAATACCTACCAGGTGAGTCACCTCAGTGTGCCCTGTCCTTGAGCTGTTCCTGCATTACACTGAGGAAGAGAAAGAAAGTTGTTTAAGCTCTGCTTGATTTTCACTAGGCTGCTATTGAAGTAATTTTGGTTTATTTCTTACACAGCTTAAATGGCTAAGACAAACTTTCACGGTATTTCTTAAACTTCTGTTTCTCAAAACTTGAGATTTACTTGTTGACAATGGGAAAGTGTAGTAGTTCTGAATTTGCAGGAGGTGTTGCTCATATGGTCCTGCGAATCTTTTATGAAGGGTTTATGTACTCTTTTATAAACCATGTTTATAATTAGTGACACCTAACATTAATTAAAGCAGATGCAGCGTACTTCATAGCTAATCTTGCTGCCAGTATGGCTTTGAGGTAAGGATGCTTTGAAATACCACTCACATGTTTCACAAATAAATTGATTATTTGTGTCCAATAGTCCATCATCTACTACATTTCTGCTCTTTCATGAGTTCTAGTGGTCCTGAGAGCTTTTAATTACGGCTGCAGTAAACTGACCAGCTGTTTAGCCTACAGTGTGTCAAGCTTGGTTTGGAAATTAGGTGGGTGGGTGAGTTAGTTTGCCCACATCAGTACGTTGCTTTGACTCTCTTGGTGCTACTAGCTTACTGTAGTGCCCACAGTTCCATTTCCCTGTTAATGGAAGAACAGATAGTCCTGCACAGGGAACAGTGTTTTAGAACAGTAAACCTGCCTGCCCTCCTGTTTCCTATGGAGGGTGTGTTCTCCACAGTGTAATCTGCAGGGTCTGCAGCTGGGGTAGGCTTCTGGTGGACAGCACGCTGCAGAATGTGGAGGGAAATGCCAGGTTTTCCATCTGCAGCTCCCTGTACTGTAGTGTGAGTTCTGTTGGTGCTTATAACCACAAATCTTAAGAAACAGGTACACTGAAAAGTCACCTCTGTGGCTCTTGCTCCTGCTTGTCCTTTAAACTGAGGAGGCTGCTTGTTGCAGAAGGAGTTTATGTGGAAAGAATTTATCAGAGCCCTGACATCCACGGTGTGTTAGCTGCTGGCTGAGCACTTCTCTCTTCTTGCAGGTGGTGCAGTTCAATCGCTTACCTTTGGTAGTGAGTTTCATTGCAAGCAGCAATGCCAATACAGGTATGTCTACACATTTGTTTTAAAGATTGCAGTATTTTAAGGCCCAGGTATTTTAATAATTGAAAATAAATTCCCTGAGTTCACTTCAAGCTGTTTTAACTTTGTTCCTGCTGTGAATTTTGTCAGCGTATTGTGAAAGGTGAGAAGGAAAAGGTGTGAGTGAAAATTGACAGATTTAGGTGGCTTGCTGGAGTTGTTACTCTTCTACAAGCATATTTCTCCTGTGATTAACCCTGCCCACGCTGCATGGGCAGTACTGTGCTGTACAAGGCAGCTGTTGGGTCTCTTTCTATCAGTCAAGTTAACATTCTACAGGAACACGTGCAGATTTGTCTTGAGTTCTGTGGGGTGGGGAAGTCCTTCAGCCAGGCCCTGTCCTTGCTGCTGAGGACATGGCTAATGAATGTGAGCAGAAGGGATTTAGTTCCGGTACAGCTTCTTGGGCCACAGTAGCGATGGAAGTGGCAAGGCAGTAGTGGGGGAGAGTTGTGCTGCACTGGGTGCCTCTTTTAGTGCCAGGGACTGTAGACACCCTGCCAGGGGGTGCTGCCCCCAGTTCACAGGAGAGTGAGTAGCTCACATGAAACATTTCAGGCTTTGAAAAACACTGCCTGTGACTTGGGACGGGGAGGGAGCTGTGGGCTTTGGAGGGAGGCTTCTTGGTGATGTTCTTTGAGGAAATATTCTGTCTCTTCTCTCTTTCCAGGGCTGATTGTAAGTTTGGAGAAGGAGCTCACGCCACTGTTTGAAGAACTGAGGCAGGTTGTTGAAGTTTCTTAACCCAATGGTATAGCCAGAGTGCAGCATTCCTCTGCAGCCCAGTGGACAGAAAGATTCAATAATCATCAGTCAAATAACACGTCTCCGAAGAAATACCACAGCTCCTTAGTGTACTAAGAGTAAATTGTACATAGTACTGAATCTGAAATGATCTACTAGTGTGTTGTAGGTGGATGTTACTTTAGGCCGTGCTTCTTGTATTGTGCAGTACTGGAGAGCCCACCAAAATAGCTCCCATGGAGTTTAGCTCAGCCGGCTGAGCCAGGTCGGCGCGATGCCCTTGGCTCAAAGGAGCGACCCCCGGATCTCTTTACAGGGCACCAGGCACATGGCAGGGTGTGTCTGTCCTCACGCTGGCCACCACTGCGTGTGGGAAGGCACATCAGGTGGGGGAGTGAGCAGAGACGTGGTTGGAGGCATTGTGAGAGCAGGAATGTTAGCGCTGATGTGTCGGTACAATCGGTCGGGATCCCAGCCTGCTTACACGGGGTGCACTTTGGCAAGGGAGTGCTACTAATCTGGATGCTGGCTGCATCCTGCTTCCACTAGGAAGAAAGCTGTTTCTATGGAAGCTATTGCTGTAGGGGTTTTCATGATGCCTAGCTAAAAGCACCCAAACAATGTCTCACTTCTTCATGGGGTTTTTTTGTGTAATATGGTTGTGAAGATCTCATGTCTCATAGTCTTTGTGTGGGTTCATCACTGGTGACACTCTCAGCTTATTTACCCTTAGGTTTTCTTAAGTAAATAAATATAAATAAAATACAGTATTTTTAAATGACAGAGCCTGGTCCACTCTTCTGTTGCACTGTAATACCCCACAGCACATCTGCTTGTCTCTAGAGAGAGCAGGTCTCTTAATTGTTTGTAAATGTCCAAAATCCATGAATTTATACACTGAAAACTAACTAGTGTGTCTCTCAGTTGGGCAGTAAGGATACCAAGTCCCAGGGCAGTGCAGAGATCTGTTGCTGGGGGTCAAGCCTGGGCTCTTAGCCCCCCTCTTGCTCCCTCGCACGTCCCCTTATGACACCTGCCAAGCACTGCCGGCCTGGGGGGCAGCTCTGGGCAGCTCTGAGCCCGGGCACGCCGTGGCCCCGTGTTCACACCTCATCAACCTGTGGTGCAGCAGGCAGGGTGGGGGAACAGTGGTGCTGGAAATGACAGCTGCGAGTTCCTGGCTCAAAAAGATTGTCAGTCAACCATTTTCCATTTGAAATAAGCTGGAATGGGACTTTGGTTGCCGGTCTTACAGAAGCAGCTGGAAGGTGTGTGTGTTTCTGGCAAAATGTGTTTGTGCTCCAGCAAAGGCCTCCCCTTGCTGTTTGCTTCTGCTCAGCCCATCTGTCTGTGACGGCTCCCAGGGCCACCCAAGTGCCATTTCTTTCACTGGCTTCAGTTTGTGACACCATGTGCTGAGCTTGTTTCCAGTGTTTTGTGAAGCAGCCTGCTGCTGTGAAAAAGGGAAGGCTATGTTTGTGGTTTCCCCACAAGCTCCATTTCCAAGCCATGTTCACAGGACAGTGATGTGCTAGAGAGTATCATCTCTCTCTTCCCCTTATGCTGCCTCTCTCTCACAGAAACTCAGCAAAGGTTTTTAACTAAATGGGAGATGCCAGTTTCTTAAAGCTTCATTAAGGGAAAAAGGAGCACAAAGCTTTAACAATACAGTACAGGAATATAAAGGACCTGTGGTAGTTTTATAATGACATTTTATTCAGAAAACAGTCTATATAAAAATATTTACAAATACTTTTAATTTCTAAGTTGAAATAAAATGCTATTTATATGTCCAAATCTAGATTTTCTTCTTCCAATGTGCTTTTGCCTTCCTCTTCTGCACTCTTCTCCCAGCAAAGGCAAACCCCTTCTGCATGAGCAATACCAAACACAGACTGCAGTGTGGCATAGCAGGAGAGGTTGGCAGGTGCTGTTTCAGCATAAATTTGATTGTTATGCCGGGAGAGAGGGTCCCCCCTCTTTTCCCAGCCCTCGAGGAGGCACAGAATTGCTCAGGGGATCTTGCAGCTGGGTCAGTCTGGTCTTGAGCCTCTCCAGTGCGTCAAACTGCTTCCAAAATATAACACCTATTTAGAGTACAGCACCAACATCATGGGGTTCCACTTGTCTCTCTAGTGAGCCACAACGCTGTTAAATGTGTGTCCTATGAGTGCCAGGAAGCAGCTACTGTTTCTCAAAACCATGGTTTGTATACAAGTGTGCTTACATGGTGCTGCTCACCATTACCTACAGGTGCTGATTGAAACAAACATTCCCTTGTAGTCATCCCTGTGGTATAAAGCTAAACCATATTAAAATTTGTTTGACCTGAACTAGGTGTCGGACATCTGTCACTTTGAAAAGGGCCTTGAAATACTACTCTCTGGATTACAATATAGATGCTATTTACAAAATGTAATTCTGTCATTTTTCTTCAGGTTTAAAGCCTAAACAGGTAATAAAAAGATATTTAATGTTTCCAGAAAGGACCTGTTTTAAATAAAAGGTTCAAGGTTACAGAACATGATACTGATGCTTACTTGTGATGCAGCTTGCAATAAATTAATGAGTGCTCTGAATAACCCCAAAAGTTTTGAACAGTGACCACTTCTGTGATTAGGTGGCAGTGTTTGAATTCAGTGCGTTGCAGGCATACGCCACACATATCAAACCCACACTCTGGTTCTGCAGCCGTGCCCTGCACAACTCGGCAGCCGCAGAGCACCCAGAGCCGCAGGATCCCGTGTGTGCAGAGCTGGGTGGCCTCTGTGAAGGGGCACAGACAGCGCTGGAGACGTGAGGCTGCCCTCTGGTAAGGAATGCCTTCCCCGTGGAGAGAGGCAGCTGCTGCCAGTGGAGCGGGAGCGCTGGCACACAGCTAGGAGCTGAGGGCGGCACCGCGCTCCTCCAGCTGCTTCCGTATCTGTGACTGGAACAGAAGGACAGCCCATTACTGCTTGTCTGCCTGCGTGGGGGTGTGGGTGACCACAACCCACCCAATTCCTGGTATCTTTTTAGGAAGTAGTGCTTTCAAGCCTTTACACTGTCTCCTCATTTCTGCCATCATGACCCAGGACATGTGGTCTGGGCTGGTGGATGATCCATATTGTTTACCAAGTACATATAATGACATCCTTAGAGATGGAAGTAATTTTTTCTTACCAATGAGCATGCCTGTAAAGGTGCATCCCAGAAATGCTGAAGTGGGTTTCCAGGCAGATGTATCGTGCCCCTGTGCATGGCACTGATGAGGCCACACCTCGACTGTTGTGTCCAGTTTTGGGCACCCCAGTTCAGGAAGGTGCCTGATTCCAGAAAAGGGCAGTGGAGGGGAAGGGACTAGATCGTAAGTGAGGAGCAGCTGATGGAGCTGGGGATGTTTAGCCTGGGGAAAAGGAGGTTCTGGGGTGACCTTATCACTCCCTGAAAGGAGAGGGTAGCCGCTGGGGGTTGGTCTCTTCTCCCAGGCAACCAGTGACAGGATGAGAGGACAGAGCCTCAGTCTGTGCCAGGGGAGGTTTAGCCTGGACATTAGGAGGAATTTCTTCACAGAAGGGGTTGTTAGACATTGGAATGGGCTGCCCAGGAAGGTGGAGGAGTCACCATCCCTGAAGGTGTTTAAGAAAAGACAGGGTGTGGCTGTGGCACTCAGTGCCACGGTCTAGTTGACAAGGTTGTGACTGATCAAAGGTTGGACCTGACGACCTCGGAGGTCCTTTCCAACCTAACTGATTCTGTGATTATGTGAAAACTGCCCATTCCAATCCAGCCTGGCAGCCAGAGCAAGCACTGCCTTGCGGGAGGAGCCGAGAGCTGTAGCACTTGTGTGCCCAGCCCTGGGGCTGCGCTGGCAGCAGCAGTGCTGCTGCTGGGGTGCCCTGCAGCAGCACACATCACCTTACCAGTTTCCACCGCAGGATTTTAATCCACTCGTCAGCTTCTATCCCAGTTTTGGCACACAGGTAGTATGTCCTTAGTGGGAACACTAAACTGTAAGTAAACAAAGCTTTCTTAAGTTGCTAGAACAACTGGCAGCTCTCCCCAAAACTGAGCCCAGCTGGCCGGTGCCAACAGCTGCTGAGACAGAGCAGGACAGGGAGGCTATGCTCCCCTTCAGCCACCAGGAGGGAGGGTAACCAAGAATGGGTGACAGCCATTTGCAGCCCAGGGTCCTTAAGGACAAGGACCTTTCTAAGGATAAAGGACTCACATTTGGGGACAGAAGAGGTTACCATGTGACCTGTATCAGTGTCTGACCCCAAGACCCATGAGTCTAGGTGATGATTATAGGTGCTTACAGAATTAGAAATGCCCACTACACATGGGCCCACTTTTTGCCAGGAGTAATTTGGCAAAGCCAGACAGAGATTGTCTGACAGAAACAGACTTGTGAGTTAGAGGATGAGAAGGGTCACAACCACCAAAGGGCCTTTCAGACGCACACATTGTTTATAATTCCCCTTGTTCCAGCAACATGGAGAAAATCCTGCAACCTACCAGAAACAATTGACTCTTTCCTGGGAATAGTCAAATTGCACAGCTGAGCATTCAGTTAAGTCAAGTGCTCGAATTGGTTCCGTAGCCTTGAAGAGAAAATGTTTTTAAAATGTGGATACATGAAAACAGAAGATAAAGTTATCTCAGTTCATCTTCAGTGCATCTAGACATTTACAGGCACCTCCACAGGTTTTTCCAGGCATAGTTACAATGGCTGTAACACCATAAGCACAAACTAGCAAGCATAAGAACATCAGTGGTGTGATGCAAAGTGAATTTAATATGAAAAACACAGGACAGTTCACATCTGGACAAGCAACAGAGGAGATCTCTGCTGCAGGAATGTTTGAGCTACATGGAGTGTGCTGAGGTTTTGGCTGATGCCATGTAATGTGACTGACACAGCAGCAAACCTGGTACCACTTTCAGCTAAGGTTTACAGAGAAAAAGCATATATAAGATAAAGGTCTTATCAGTCTAGCCAGCTGTTGGAGATTTAATTAATTCCTAAGTGCCTTAAAAGGACGAAGCTGGGTAAGGAGAAATGTAGAAGCAAAGCCAAAGTAGTGCTTGCAGCAGGACTGATAGGTCTGGCTGCCTGAGAAGCATGTGTGCACAAACACACACACAAATATATATATGTGTATAAAAGTTTCTTTGGACAAGCTCAGGTGCAGGGACCTAGGTTGTGTATAACAGCAACCCACGTCTCTTAGGAGTTTCACACTCCCTAGGCGTGAGAGATCTTCCTCCACTTGTTTCAGCCTCACACTGTTAAGGCCTCAGAGGAGGCAGCTTTATTGCTTTCTGCCCAAGCACCCTTAGCTGTTTCCATGGTCCTCCATCAGGTGTGTGGAGGTATCTGTTGCTTTCTCATCTTCCCTTAATATTTTTGCTGCCTCAGTGGCTGTTAGCAATACCCTACATTAGAAGAAAGCCCCTTGGGCTGTGGTGAGATACCAAATGCTGTCCCAGGGTCAGCTGCAGACTGCTCACATGTAGGTCCCTCAGCCCCACAGCAACAACAGGAGTGCCAGGAGACACTGGAGCTGCTGCCTGGAAGGAGGTCGTAGTCCTGACAAACACAGGAGTTCTTCTTGCCTGGCAAGTCACTAATGGAGTGCTGCTCTTTGAAATGCTGTCCTGAAAACTTAATTCAAATTGTCTTGAAATGAAATGAAAACTGATGGAAAGCCCTGCAAAAATGTAACTGTTTAGAAATGGTAATGTTTGGTGAGAGAAGGCTCTTGCGTCTGCTCTGTGTAAAAATCTGTTAGAGGCTTGAAAAAGGGCTTGGCAGAGGTGAACAGTTTGGCTGTGTTCATGAAGGAACCTCAAACAAAGGCATTGTTAGGGCAAAGAAACTCCAGATGTGTTCCTTATCTTTACTCAGACCAAGATAGAATGGAGCAGTAACTGTAAGGATGCCGCAGATTAATCTTTGTCAGAAGAAATTTTTAAATTAATGGTTTTCCACGTGTGCTGTGAGTCCACTTGAAATAGAAGGATGAAATCCAAGAATGCAAAGGATAACACTAGTATTTTTAGAACTATTTTAGCAGCACACTCTGTCAGGCTGTGTCTAAACTACAAATAAAGATTGTGTTGTGCTGGTAGCTTAAAATCCACTTAACAAAGCAAAACAAAAAGGTATTCTAGGCCAGGTTGGGCAGGGCTTGGGACAGCCTGATCTAGTGGAAGGTGTCTCTGCCTGTGGTGGAGAGCTTGGAAGAAGAAGATCTTTGAGATCCCCTCCAACCCAAACTATTCCATGATTCTGTGTAAAAAATTCCTGTAAACTCTATCCAGTAGCTAAGACTGGCAGAGTACAGTAAACATTTTCCAGCTGAAAACTTGCTTTCTCTTGTTGAAGTCATCAGCAAAACTGACTTTACCTGACAGGTTTGACCCCTCTGACAGTTTGGGAAGCTTTAGCTTGGAAAGCTGTGATACAGATGTGAGAAGCCAGAGACACAAGGAGGCTGCAGCTGCCTGTGTAGATGTTTAAAAGGTAGAATTGGTGTTTGCTACTTACTGTCTGGTCTTTGAAGTACTTCAGTTCATTCCTATGCAGTGTAAACCACCTTGTTTTCCAGCTCTGAAAGATCAAGAACAAGTGGTAACTGTCTTGGGAGAGTTTAGTCTAAAACTTCTTAGGAAAGAAAAACTTTCAAAGCTGCTGGCTTGCCCTGGTTTACAGTTGTGCTTTGTTATTGCTCAAAATACAAATTGTTCCTCTCTGCAGGGAAATACATACAGGTGGAGCAATTTCAGCTCCATGTTGGTTTTAGCTTATGTGGGTAATCAGAGTGGAAGCAACAAATAAGAGTTTTCCTTACCTTGACTATTTTGCCTTGTTTTACCAAATATCCTTCTTTGGTACCAAGCTGTGAAGTAAGAAAGGGATTGGGGTTAGAGGCTGAGCTCTGCTTCTGTGTCCCATGTCCCCCTCTTTGCCTACATCGGGAAGATGGCTCAGTTCTTTGGGAAGCTCCCCACTCCTCACTTCCATGCTCCCCCTGGGCAGGTCCAGCCACGTTGGGGTGAACATGGAGCTGTGCTGGCCCTGGAGGCAGCCCCCAGGCTGTGCTCCCTCAGGGAGCTCTGCCCTGCCCCTTCCCAGCCAAACACAGCGAAATGAAGCTGCAGCTACAGCTATAAATGAAGCTGCAGCTTCATTTATCAGGGCTGGATGGCTGCCCCTGTAGGTGTTGTGACCAGGAGCACATGGGGTTCCACTGGCAGTGGAATTATCCCCAGAAAAGGCTCCTCAAATGCAGCCAGGGGAAAGTGTTGTTTTACTGAGCTGTTCCCTTCTCTCAACCAGGCTCATGCTTGACAGGAAAAACCTGTTATGTTCAATGTGCTTTGAAAAATTGGGTTTGAACTGTTTCTCAGGCATCATGAGTGACACTTGGACCTTATGACTTCTTAGATACTGAAATTCTCTGTAGGGACCTGGCTGTGAGACCTCTGAAAATCAAAATCTTGCCAACTTACCGCTTGTTCTTGAAAAAATATTACCTTTTTATTGGTGGTGTGTGGAAATCAAGGTTCTTTGGAGGTTAAGTGTAACTTGGTGATGAAGGGTTGGTTGTGAGACACATCAGAAGTGGTTCTTTTTGCAACTTCATTAACCCACATTAACATAACTCTTCCTCTTTCCCCCCCAAAATACTGTATGTAATTAAAATAGCTTCCTCTCTGTTCAGAGCAAACTGTTCTGGAGAAACCACCTGTCTCACCTAGACATGAGTTACAGGGATTTAGAGACTCTAATTGCTGTTCAAGTGAGAACAGTTGGCCCTAATAATTTTGTGTGTGTATGCATTTTTTTTAAATTAACGATAATTTTAATAATGATAAATTATTCTAAAAGATAACATGAGAATGAAAATCTTTCACATATTCTTTGTTTGGATAGTCAGACTCACCCAGGTCAGCTGCAGACAATGTTTTTCCAGGGACAGCATTGAAGTGACAACAATTATAAAAGCCTTTGTTTGCCATGGGCCTGTACTGAGCAAGTCTGTATTTGTTTTGCCTTGTTTGGCAGAGACTTCCTGTGTTTACAAACCCGTAAAGGGATTAATAACCAGTCCTACTCCATAGCTCACTCCAACAGCCATGCTAGACTCAGGCCAGGAGCACCCCTCCCAGCAGAGCACAACTTACTGAGGGAGCATTTGGGACAAGGTCACTTTCTGTCCTTCCCGTCTGCATTGCAGTGTGCACTCGGACAGACTCATAAATGGAAGGCTCCTCCACTTGCCGTGGGTAGGGATGCTTCAATACAATTAAAGTTCCTGGAGAGAAAAGAGCAGGAGTAACTCATCTGGCAAGTCCAGCTTAGAAAATAACTTGTCAGTAGCTACATCTCTGGTTAATTTCATCTTTTCCCTAAAATTAAAAAGGCAGCTGTGAAAACTGTAAATAGATGGTACCTTTTCAAAACCTTTACCCTTGCAAATGCTTGCATGAAATCTCTTGACTTATTAAATTGCTTTCCTGCCCAAGAGCCTGGCTTGGAGGGTAGGCAGGATGCTAAAACAGATAGGAGGCCACAAGAGTCATTGGGTTTGCCAACATGCCACTAGCTGGTGCTTAAATCACCTAATCTGTCAGAGCTCTGGCTACAGGCTTCCTAACAGTAAACCCACATCACCATCGCCCTCAACTGTTTTTACCACAGCTCTTCCCAGCTAAACCTTTCACTATAGCCATTCTTTTTCTCCATGTAAGGCGGTTGTGTTTATTGCATGTTCCCTGAAAAGAAAAACTGCATTCTCAATAGTGAATGTATTGTACTTTTCAAAACAGTGAAGAACATCCTTGAAATAGTATCTGCTCCGCCCTCTAACTCCATTCTTTAAAAATAATGTCACAGCATACCAAATGCTGCTCCATCTGCATTTTATGCTGCTATTGCAGCTCTTAAAGAGGAGGGATGCTAGAACTGGTAACAACTTGAACTTGAAACCTACAGATGTATGAGTAATTGAAAAGTATTCTGTAATGGGAAGGGCTAAAAAGAGAAGTGGAAAAATTGTATCTGAAGTAACCAGCTGAAATCTGTTTGCAGGCACAGGGGGTGTATGCAAATGTGATCTATTCAACTTCCTGTAGGTGGAAAGTCAGCATTGGTTTATTTCTATCTGGCCTTGCAGAAAAATTATGTTTTACCATTTAAAATAAAATGGAGAACAGCTCCATCACCATTCCAGAGAAACTACTCCTGAGCTGTTGCATAGAATCAGGGTATCATCATCTGTACACCATGGATAAAAAGCTCCCTTGCAGAAATGGAAGGACTAATATAACATTTTATACAGTATTTGTTTTCTAATAAGTCCTCTGTGGACTTTTTTTTTTTTTTTTTTTGCCTCCACAAAGACAATTGTACAGAATAATCTGATAATTATACACAGCATCTAACAAAAGTTGCACTGTAGCAAGATTATTCTGCCATGTCTGCATCTGCTGATGCTTGGATTGGAGTTGACTGTGATGAGCCACTACCTCAGTTTTGACAAAACATGGTTATGACCCAGGAGAAATATGACACCTGTATCTGAAGGAATATTGCCTGAGTGTTAGCTCTCTCTTCCCCTTTACTGTTTTCCATGGTATGGTAAGGTGGAAGGTTTCCTTATATGATATTCAATTTTTTTTTTTTTAAAAATTTTGTAGCACATTTGACTTAGAGGTTTCACAGAGCCGGTAGAATCTGATTAGGAAACCTTAAGGTGGCAAGTGTAGATCTCATCCACAGAGATCAGATAAAACCAATGTCTTGCTTATTAGTGTCTGTAATACATGCAGTGAAGGAGGAAGGAATGGGGAAATACAAGTTTTGTCATCCGAAATCTTTACAGAGATAGGCCTGTGGGTGCATGCCTGATTTCCCAGGAAAAATAACTGGCACAGAGCATACATGTGGGAGCTCTGTGTTTGAACCACTCTTGAAAGCAATTTTAAAAGAGAGTGTTTTGAAAGATACAAGTGCCATGTTGAGTGTACAACTGCATTTTCCTTGGGGAAAGAAATTGGCAAAGGAGCCCTTGAATTTAATGTTTGGGTTAGCAGAGTACTGGTGCAAATTTAGTGTGTGACATGTTACAGTTATTGCATGTGCCAACTATCATTTAACTGGGCTCTTGAATACATAATTAGTACTGCCCTGAGTTATTTGCATACACTTGCCACTGAGGATACTGAAGTTTTTGGCATTAACTTGTACTGACATGTCTTCAATTCTTACACTTGAAGCTAAACATAAAACTGACATTGCCATGATAATATCCAGTTTGTTTCTCCAAGGATTCTAGCCTGATGGTGTTCAATTCACTTGTAGGAATCAAGTTTAATATTTTGACCCTTTAATTCAGTCAGCACATTGGTTGTTAGAGAAACTTGTGCTTTTCTCTCTCCTCTTAAAAGCAAGAAAAATCACTGTGATGGCAGATGGCATCAGCATGGTGATGGCACTGCAGGCAGAACAGGAGAGCTGGTTAAAAACACATTCCCTACAGGAAAGAAGAGCATAACACTGTAGGCTCCTTCCTTGGACAAAGAATAGTGAGATGAAACCATTTCAAGTCATTTTTCCATTTATTCTTATTGGGGGATTTCAGCTTCATAGGTGAATATTTCCTCACTAACACTGTGCTTTGGTTTTGCTGGTTTTGAGAATGTTCTAATCCTCTAATTTTCTAATTTTGAAATCCTTCTTCCTCTGAGAAATTGAAAGGAGCTCATAGCCCTGGTTAGCAAAAGCCCAATAAGCTTATGTGTCGTTTATCTTCAAAGAACTTGAAAGATTTTTTTAAGTGAAATTTGCTTAGATACAAATACAAATGTGAATTTATGAACACTTTAGCAGAAGATCTATTTGCTAGCACAACAGAAGCTCTTTTTGGTTAGATCTTTGTGAAGCATGGCTACAAATGTGTTCATACACACAATATGGCTCTCCTTACCTGTTTCACTTCCAATTAAAGGCTGGTTTGCAAAATGCATGACCAATTCCTTCAAGCTAGAAAATTCATTAAATCCAAACTTGAATGAAGTTCCTGTGTGCTCTACATGGAAGTGTTTCACAGAATCTTTTCCCCTAAAACAAAAGAGGAAAATTTGTCAAGAAGTAAATGCCAAAGGCATTTGGCACATATAATCCTTAAATAGCATTAAATAGCACACTACAGGGACCCAGAACATGGGCTGCCAATCACTGTCTTAGTAGTAATAGTACTGCCATCACTGTCCCTCACTGTGTTGTGATTTTCAACAGAGCTGAAAATCAGATTTTAATTGCTGACTTACAGATATGAGATGATGAAAGCCTAGAAAGGCCAAGTTGGTTCATTTAACTCTTGCATCAACAGAAAGACCCACAGAAGAGATTTCAAGCCTTCTGCCTAAATAGGATGAAATCCTTTCACTTACTGGACTTCAGCCTTGAGGGGTATACTCAGTATGTGTCTTGCTTTTCAAGCAGCATCCCAATCTCACTGAAAATGTCTTCTGTTTCCCCTGGAAAAATGGCCTGTCTCTGTTTTGCACCCAAACAGGGGTTTAATAACCTGATTTTAAATACCGAGGGCTTTAGAATTTGTTTGCTTTGTCTCTGTATTTGGATGATTGGTTCCACTAGGATGGGCACTGACAAACATGAACCAGGGTCCTGTCCTGTAAGGGAAGTAACAGCTTTTGTTTATGAAACCTGATGGCGTTTAGAGAAGTGTGCAAGGTCTCACTTCCTGGGTAGGCAATTATTTTGACTTCAAAAGACAGTGAAGCACTTATTGCAAATATTTCTCCAGTGAAAAAGTTACTTTCTTTAATGTTACTACCACCCAAAACAAACTGTCTGAGGAAAAACTTACACAGTAAATATACTGGAAAAGTGCTGTGACGAAAATTAATTAGAGCATCTCTTTCACTGTTTATTGCCACTTCCAAAGAGGATAATGGTTTCAAACTGGTATTTAAACATGTATCTTTGAACAGTATCTATGTTACTGCAGAAGACAGAAGAAGAAGGCTTCTATGGGCCTCCCACATGTTTTGTGCTACAGTCAGCTGGGGCACAAAAGCCAGGTGCAAATGCTCAGTGCCAGGGAAGAGCTGCTGCGACTCTGCTGCAGTTACAGGGGTTTCCATCTTTTTGTTTAATTTCTCAAGACAGTGTTGCAATGAGAGCAAATTGTACTCTGCTTCCTCCTTCCTTTTCAAACTGGCTAATGTAGCTGGGGGAGGAGATTTCAGGCAATATGGGACCTCTCTTCCTACAGCTGTCAATAAAAACCTCAAGGGATGGCTAAGCATTTTTTCCTTGAAAAACCCCAAGCTATAATCATGACCAAAGTTCCTTGTGAGGCTGAGGCAGAAAATGAAGTAAAAGCTACAAAAGATGTTTTAAGACAGAAGGAAAATAACAGCTAGAATTGCTGAAGTTATCCTTTCTACAGAAATGTATCAGAACAAAATTGAATTACTTATTCTACAATTAAGTTTTCATATTAGTCAAAAAAACTGCAAGAAAACATAACATTAACCAGTAGAAAAATTGTAAAATATTTTAAAATGAAAATCAGTATTCAAAGGAGATGTACCACCAGAAACAACAGAAACTAACAGAACAGAATAAAAACCCAAACTTCAGACTGGGCTATTCAGTTCATATGGTAATGCAGTAAGTAATTCTCACTACATGAAGAGCTGAACAAGAGATTGGAATGGGCCCAAAATAGACTTTTGTAGGTCTTCCAAGGCTAGAATCTGTCCAAGCAGCAAATTTATTTTCATTAACTAACACTTCTGTTTCCTATTAAAAGAACTATTTAAATTTTGGGTTATTACAAGAAGTTGTTTCCTGAATGCCCTTTAAAACTACCTTCAAGATCCATATATAATTTTTTAATTGGCTGAGGTTGTTATCTCAAATAATGCTTAACAACTTAAAGTAAAAAAATATTAACCAGAAAAACAATGATCGACTTAAAATTACTTTTTTTTTTTTTTTTTTTTTTTTTAAGGAAAGCTATTGCTTATAAATGCCACTATTCTTTTTGGAGACACTTGCACTAAATTCAGTCATTGCTACTCTGAATACTCATTTCGTAACAGCATCTTCAGATGTGTTGGGCACCCTGTGTATAAATGGCTGCCTATAGTGGTAATAATTTCAACAGTGTGTGTATAGGCACATTTGCTCCTCGATCTTCTGTCAGAAATGGGTGAAACACCTCATTGTTGCCTTTCCTGAGGAACAGGGTATGTGCAAATCAGACTTTCCTCAGTTCCCAAGCAACTATTTTTCCAAATTGTAACAGCTCCTGGTACTGAATATGCAGAAAGCCACAATCTCAAGGGCATATGCTGTGCTCCTGCCAGGGGTGGAAATAACCAGCAGCATTACACAGATCAAAGTGACTTTAGAAAGTTACTGTGATTCAGCTGAGTTGTGGTCACAAATTGTCCAGAGACTCAGTTTGCAGCAGGAATGACCTTGCATGCACCAGTTTAAAATTTTGGTCTAGAGGCTGCTTTTATCACACAGTTGTCAAAGGTTAAAAATATTTTTAGGGCTGGTTACCTCCACCCAGCAAATGTGCAGGAACTACCTTATGTGTCTAATGCACGTGTCCTTCGGTTTCCTCACTAAAATGTTGTGGCTTCTCTCCTTCTGGGAGATTCTTAAATGTGATTCCATAGTGAAGTAACCATGCCCGGCTTCCTCTGCTCTGCATTGGGTGTATCCTGAACAGTTGTGTCCTAGATTGCTGTAATTGACTTCAAGGCCCTGGCACTGATCACTCACAAGGTGCTTTTCAATTTAGTCACGGAGACCTGGCTAAGACTGAACCTTAGCACAGAACGGAGGAGTAAAACCAGCCAAACACTGGATCATCCTTCAGAGGCGGTCGTTCCTATACAGGGATTCAGAAACTAGTAAGATTAGCGCCCGTTAAATCTTTGCTACTGTCCTCATCATAAAACCTTTCTACTCCCACCAGCTGTTTCTTAAGCTCTTTTAACTGACATGCAGATTTTTTATCATGCAGACTGAAAATTTACAGCCATTCTAAAGAATTATGTCTCCAACAAATAAGATTAATCAATAATTTGGAAAAATGAGAGCAGTTGTCAAATCCAATCATTTTTCTTTTCCTCTAGCAAAATGTCATTCAGTAGGATTACACCAATAGAAATATAATTCAAAATAGTTTAAGCCCTAGGGGAAAAAACCCAAAAATACCTGTAATGCATGGGACATTCAAACATGGAAGTAAGTGCAGCATTAGATTAGTTCACCCTGTCCATAGCCTACCTTACAGAGAGGGAGTACAAATCTTCCCTTTCATTACTCTTCCTCAAAAGATAGCTCCCGTCCTGCCCGTTGGAGAGCAGCAGCGCTTCCGCTGCGTGCCGGGTGAGGTTGTCATGGTACCACCTGGGGAGACACAAGGGGTTAAAGCATCCTTCACTCCGCTCTTGACTGGCTGATGCTGCTTTTTGGAGCAGGGTTAGAAAAAGCAGTGCTAGTTGCAGTCCTTCCTCTACAATTTTGAGTCACCACCCTCCTCACAGGCACTCACAGTTTACACAGACCTGTGTCCCTTGCAGTGGCCTGCAAAACCTTTTGACACGGTCAAAAAACTATTTCTTGTTAACACAAAGCTGTGCACGAACAGCTGACTGTTTTGCTGGATCTAAAAACACTGCTAATTCTGCTTGCATGAGCAACAAATTAGCCAGGTCTGTGCTGACAAGGTGAGAGCAGTTTTGGGGGTTATACAGACTCCTTTGTCTATTTTCAGAAGCTGCACTTCCTGACATATGTGTGTTCTTTGGTACACATCCTCTTCTGGGCAAACAGGCAGCGCTGAAACTCCTCATAAACTTTGAATTTCCCTCAATGCATCTTCACTGCCAAGATCTTCAATTAAACATGCTTCCTAAGCTTAGAACTAAAGGGATCAAAATTAACTGACAAAGTTTCAGTGGAAATTAAGATAGCTTGCTATTGTTTTCTCTTGGCCAGGTATGATCTGAGCAACAAAGGAAAACATAAACATCTAAACATGGTTTCAGTTTATCTTCAGTGAAAATTAACTTCATTTTTATGAACAAGTTTTGCAAGGACTTTAAAGGAAAAAAAAAAAACAAAAAAACAAAAAAAAAAAACCAAACAAACAAAAAAAAAAAACTCTGCAAAGAAGTCCAGGAAGTGTAGTTTATGGGTTTGTTTCCATTCAGAATGTTCCACAATGGAAACACCCAATTTTTTACAAGAGACAGGGATCTCACTAGAAATGAGCCTGAGACTGAACACAAAAAGCTGGAGCTGTAAAAGGTTGGAGCTGAAATCCTGCAAGGCACATGATAATTACCACAGCCATGCACACACACACACACAAGGCTCTGGAGCAGAAAGAGGGAGGGATACTACACCCAAAGCTCTGCTGGGAGCAACCTTCTGTATGTGGAGTGGTGCTAGGTCACCTTTCCCTCCCTTTTAAATGCCTGTAGCATTGGGAGCAAAGCCGGTCACTGCTTCAGCCAGAGAAACACAGTTTCACTGAAAGCAGAAATGCCAGGGCAGCACTTTCCACAACTTGTATCGCCGCAGTCTTCGAAATGAAACCAGGTGTAATTGTATCCTCTCTCTCCTTAGCTGTTCATCCCAAGTTTCCACCAAACTTGGCACCTCACACAAAGCTTTAACTCTGAATTTGGACGGCTGCCTATTTGAAAGGCCAGCTGGCTGATGAATTGCTTTATGAGAGACTCCAGACTGTTAACCCAGAGGAAGAGAAGATCCATGTGAAACTCAATACAGGCAGGGCATTGCTGTTTTGGCTCTAGAATATGGTCCATCTACACTGTAGAATAAAATAATGAATATTTAAAGAGTCAAAGTGTCATCCTCTGGAACACCTGTTAGCCAAAATCCGCTTTGGGATTAACTGCCCAAGTAAGGAACAGGCAAAGGTCAGATCATTCCCGATGTGGGGAGGATGGAACCAGCATGGGCAGACCTGCAGCTGAGAGTGCAGCACTGTGTTTTGGGGGGGATTTTGTAACACTGTTTGGCTCACTTCTGTGCAAAAGAAGCACATGTTGAGAAAATCTGTGAGTGGTCATTGTCATGAAGGAGGCAGATTTAGTTTGAGGTTGCTCGCAACAACTGTGTTGTTACCTTATTTCCCAAAAAAACTCTTTCACTAAACTTTTGAAAGAGAAGTCAATGAAGTTTAAGAAATGCTGTGTTTAAATCCACACTCTTTACACATAAAAGACCTGTGGCTAATGAAATGTTACTACTACACAAAAAAAAAAAAAAAAAAAAAAAAAAAAAAAAAAAAAAAAAATAGATAAGCCAGCCAGAAACCAACAACAAAACCCTTAATTGGGAAAATAATGTTGTTTGAAAGTGCACTTCTAAAACTTTGCTGACAAGGCTGTACCAGTTTCTTGCCTAAATATGCTGTCTCAGACAAAAATCCCTGAAATGTTACTATGTTCCTCTTGTTCAGCTCAAAAAAATAGAAGTGGATGGGAGACAGTAATGCAGATCTTGGTGTCAAAGGGACTGTTACACGTAGTTTGGGGTTTTTTCTCTTCCTGACCATGATAGATGGTTTGATCAGGTTACTTTGATATTCCACTGTGAAAATGGTCACAAAAACTTTGTTTCAATTGCATAAACACAGGTAAAATATTAAAATGCTGAAGAAAATTTAGAATTTGCATCACAGACCACCAGGAAGGTAAACAAATACACACCTATGCAGTCTGCTCTCACAATCAAGCCTGAGCTGACAGTACACATAGAAATCACCAGGACTAAAAATAAACCCAAACAGTCCCGTGGTTAGGCACTACTAGGTATACTTCAGGTAAATTTAAGTGTTTTTCAGAGGGAAAATCCTTCTATTTATCTGTCTCAGGAAAAGACTTTTAAGCAGTTCTTTGAAATTGGCAGGCAAATCAAGATGGGAGTTATGGCTTATTTGGCAAAACTGTAAAAGGCAGTCCACCTTCAGCTGAAGTTTAGATTGTCTTCTGAATTACACCTGGGGCAGGAAATTGTTGATACAAAACACAATACTGTATCTACTTTCATGCCATCTTAAAATGAGACATTAAGGAAATTAAAATGCTTTACAAACACCCATCTCACTGAAGCCCCTAGAAAGTCCTTCATAAAGCTGAATTGTCTTAAGTCTTCTGTTTTGAACATAGTGGATAATGTTGGATAATCAGAATGTTTCTGAAGGTCCCTCCAAAACTCATCTTTATAGAGTCTTGTATTCACTACAAAACAAGTCCAGAGTACTTTGACACCTTTCAGACTGCAAACCATCAGTAGTGTAAAAATTGCCTCAGGTTCTTGACTGAGATTTCTCTGAGAAACCCAAGAAGAAAGACAGATGAAATTCCTTCCTTGCTTCAAGCTCACTTCTGGCTGTCCTTGGCCTTGTACACCCTCCCAGTATGTATACATACTTCTGGGAGGTTTCTCTTTTCTAATTATTTCATTTCTTCTATTAAAAAAAAAAAAGTGTGGTCAACTTTTTGGGGTTCCCTTTCTACAATCTGACTAGCAATCTCATGCTCAGAGTTTACAGCTGCTGTCATTTATCCATTCTTATTACCTTAACCTCGTCCTAATTGACATTAAATCTCTTTATCCCATCCATGTAAGCATGCTTGTGTTGTCAGTGTGGTTGAATGGCCATGCCATCCTTCCTGCTCTTTGGAATGGCCAGTGAAGGCATGTCTTAGGATGGACAAGCACAGCCAGTGAGATCACTTTTGCTACCCTTTGAAAAAGAAACCATTTTCAGACATCAGCCTGTTCTTTAGGTACCAGTGCATCGGTGATGGCACAGAGGAAGGACTTCACTGTTGGCTTTTAGAGGAAGGAGATGAGACACCCAGTGCCCCAGAATGCCCAAACTCATCAGAGCACACAGCCTTGCCCTGAAGATCTGCCCCTCCAGTCACCAGCGGTGTTTCCCCGTGGATTGAGCTGGTGGCTGCTGTAGTGCAAGCTGTGACTGTGCTGGCCAGCTATGCTCCTGCAGCTGTGCCAGTCATCACAACTCCAGAACAGGATGCACTCACATTAAAATCTCTTCTTGGGAACATCTCTTTGTAGTTAATGCAGCAACTAGAGCTACCTACACCATGGTGAAGATCAGGAATAACCTAGAGCAAAGTCTGCGGTGGGAAACTCCCTCTTCAGGTTAGAACATCATCCTCAAAATGTTCATTCATTCTTTAGCAACCCAAGCTGTTCCAATGAAAAATGTCAATGAAACTTCATTTCTGTGTCCCCTGAAGATGAGTACCCTTAGGTATGGCATCTGTAATTTCTGATAATGCTGTTTTCAAATAAATCACATGGATATTTTGCAAAAAAATCTGCCTGTGAAATAGGAGCTGCTGAATAAACTTGTAGCTGGCATCAGGTGGATAAACTTTAACAATAACAGAATACACAAGCAACACAAACACTCATCCGTGAAAGGGTGAATGCTGAGTGACTTGCATAATTCTCTTCTGAGCCATTTTTATGTGCAAACTGTGTAACATCCAGTAGGAACACTTGCTTTTCTTCCTCACAAAAATGAAAGACAGTAGCACCAGAAGAGAGCACAGCTGGAAGTTCTGGCTGCTATTCGGCGTGTTTGGAGTGATAACTCTGCAGTATGCCGAGCTACCAGATAAATGCAGTAGGCAGAGGTCACACTTGGTTTTTGTGTCCTTATCAGATGTTCTCAGACAGGTGTAGCCTGGACAGAACTAGAAACCTTGTGCATGTTTGGCTTGCTTTTATGAAAAAGTCAGGCAGTTTTAAGTTCTTTCTGTGAAGCAAGAAGGAGATTCTTGGTGTGCCGCTGGGAGAGCTGTGCTCTCTTCCCAGAAGCTCCCTCCCCTGCTGCAGCAGGGGCAATAGTGCTGGTGCCATGGGGTGGGTGGAAGGCACTCGGCTCTCTGAGCTGCAGGAGCCAAGCAGGAACACAGCAAGTCTAAGTCATCTCTTGTCCACCTCTGAAAGGTAGCAACGACCCAGATTACAGGGAAGATGGGCCACATGTGCTCCCAGTAGGACTTCACTCCCATAGTGCTCACAGCAGTTATTTACCCTCAGTTGGTTGACTGGATTTTTTGTTGTTTGTTTGTGGGGGGTTTTTTTGTGGTGGTAGACATTGGCAAGTTTTGTGTTTTATCATTTTGTTTGTTTGTTTTTAATTAAATATATCTTCTACCACGAGGAGTTGAATTTGCTTACACCTTGAAACAATATTCCATCCTCAAAGATGTATTCCCTCTCTTAGGTTGAAGCAGTAGTCCACAGTTCTGCTCGATGAAGTGCATGGGAAAGCACTGACTTATCTCCTCTGGCTGGATGCAATGCTCTTCACATGCCTGTGCTCCAAAAATGACTGTAAAACTGACACACTAGCTCTCTGTTTTTGGCACTCTGTATTTCAGCAACTTCCAGCTCTTATCTGTCAAGTTTAGTAGTCTGGGATTTTTAATTTTTTTTTTTTCCTAATATCACACCCTAGAAGCATTGCCCATCAAATGAAAATTGCAAAAGGGTTTTCTGCACCTCACATCACTAAAAGTGGAGTTTTGGTCATGTTTTCAATGGTGCATGAGTTGACAGAGCTCTAGAGAATCTCCAAAAGGGCAAGAATGCTAAGACAGAAGTTACAGTGTCAGGCAACGAAACTGGTTGGTATTTGTAGGACATCCTTTCAAGGTGTTACACTGAAATTCACAAAGCTGTGTAAAGTACTTTGCTGGAATACAAGGAGGCCATTATATGGGGGGGAAATAATTTTAAAATAGAAATAAGAGGAAATAACATCATTGTATCCAGTCTTAAGGTTTGTCTTCTAACTGTAGACTTTCACTAGTTCAGCTTCTGCTTTTCACTTCCATCTTCTCTCCCCCTTCTTTCATCTGCATTCATTCTGATTTTCACCCATTATTTGGCCCACTTTCTAGTCACTTTAATTTTTATCTTCCTTAAATTAGAAAACAGAGATGAAAAAATTCTTATGACCATTTACCCTCTTCCAGTGAAACATGTTCCTCAGTTTCACAATTTTATTATCACCTGATTTAGGCCTGTGGCTTAATTTATCTTCTGTCACTAAAACTAAGTATGGAATGTATTGACCAGCCTTACAAATATCATCTGTCATGGTGCTGTCAGACCTGAAAGGGCATAAAAGTTCTGCTGCAAGGCGTGACAAAGATACAAAAATTTGTTTCCTCTTGCCCTGCGCCTTTCACTTTCAACAGACAAACAGTGTCACCCAGACTATGCTGTACTGGGATGCAAACTGTGCTTCCAGACGCGCCTGCAGTTACTGGGATGACGGGATACTCCACATTCTCGCCTCTTGCGCAAAGAGCCGCGCAGCGGGATTCCCCAGCCCCGCGCAGTACGTGCTCAGCCACAGGAGCTCCACGCTGCAGTTTCTGGCTGTGCTTCAGCTCTAACAGCAACAAAGGCAACTGGAAAATGGACTGACTTCTGCAATAACCAAAGTGGCCTTCAGAGAAGAATCCCATTGTCAGCTTCCTTTTCCTTTTAAGCCAAGGTGCTTATGTCTCTTTTGGTGAACTTCAGTGGTTCCTTTTAAACATTTTGGTAGATTTAGGGACAAAGCTAATGGGTGAGGCAACAAGTTTTTAACAACATGTTCTGCATTTGGTCTTCCTTTTCGTTAAGCATTAGGTCCACCTATACACATGTCAACACAACGAAGCTGACAGTAATCTGAATTTTCCCTACATTGCTGACAAGTTTCTATTCTGCTGAGCAGCTAACCTGGTAAACTACGAGCACATCCCAGTACTCAGCCTTTTCTCTTAAGAGTAAAGTCCTTCCCATTTCACACTTCTTTAAACCTTATCCAACTTCTTTGATTTTTGTACCAGAAAGCAGAAGCGTTAAAAGAAACTGCTTCAAATTCCACCCCAAAGATATGTGAATGTTGAAGCTGCTTCTCATTTGAATGACCATTGTCTCTGTTGGACACACGCTCCTCACCAGAACTGGGTCTCAGTTGTGCTGGATACTGCATCAGCTGTCAAGGGAACTCTGCACTGTGAGAGGAGGGGACTAAGTTTAGGATGGAAAACCCTTGTGATGACTGAAAATTTCATTGCATGGTCTGGAGAGTGATACACTTACTTGTGACAGCTGAAAAAGCACTTACATTAAGAGATCTTTCAGATTATGCTACAAGAATGTCTGCTGCATGAGGAGTTCTTTTGCATCTTTAGGCAAAAAAAAGGAGGAGAAAAGTGGCTTCAGTACTAGCTGAAAAGAAAGGGCCTTGTTTAATCATTTGAAGGGATTCTTTACCTGGCATTGCTTATTCAACTTTAATGCATTTAACTCAACACACTTCCCTGAAGGAGATGCTGAGTGTTCTGTGGAAGGGTGAAAAATTTAGGTTTTCCATTGAAGTGGAGGTAAAATAAAGAAGGTACAGCTTTAAAAATGCATATTTGTAGCCCTCTAATTCCTACTCTTTCCTTCTTCCGGATACCATATTAAGTACCACATCAAGCTGTATTTCTACAAGACTATTTATGAGGATGAACTCCTTGCTGTTTATAGGCACATGTTTCTGGCATATATTAACTCAGACCACATTGTGGAAATCAGTAAAAGTCTGGTAATTGGGAATCATGCTTCCCACAACAGCTGCAACGAATTTTTCTTTCCTTCTTCCCTGTATACTGTGTTTTAGGATGAGCCTAATCTTACAGATGTAAAGAAAAAGTATAAAATGGCTACTCTGGGTACCACTGCAAAGTGACTTTACTGAATTTCACACCTGTTAGGTGCTTCAGTTACCAGGCATTTCATTAAAAGGTTCTTTTAAATATGGGAAAGTGGCACCAGTGTGGAGCTAGAATTTCCAAGCTACTTTGTTGCACTCCAGTTTGTTCATTAAGTGAACAAATTGCAAAAACAAGCAATGAATTGGTCTGAATCCACAAGCACTCGGGAAGCAAAACACCTGTACTTTTCTCATCAGTCCTTTTTGAGTGCAGAGCTGACACCAGAGCCTTTCTGCTTTGTCAGAATGATCACTGGCCTTTCCTCTGCTCTGCCTCGCCTTTGCACTGCCGCCACTGATCCCACCCTGCCCGTGCCCTCCCATTCTGCTCCTCCAGCCCGTGTTTCTCCCTGCCCACGGCAATGCTGCCGGTGACAGAGTGACCCAAGCTTTCCTCCTGCAAAAACCAAAACTAACTGGCAGAAAAAATGGGCGAGTCGCATAAGACCGGGAACAAGGTCTGTTGCAACCTTCAGCCTTCCTTTTTGCTCCCGGGCTTTGGCTTTTCGGTGAGCACGATGTCCTCCTCGCAGTGGCTGTGAATTGTCCGCCGCTGTCCCTCCTGAAGCCCCAGGCACCTTTGGGAATCCTGCTGCCGCCAGGCAAGGACAGCAGCTCTCCAGACCAGAGCCCAGGCCAAGCTACAGGGAGGCAGCTGAAGGGATGGCACGGGCAGGGCAGGGATCTGAGGGCAGGGATCTGAGGGCAGGTGTGGGTTTGGTGCTCCCTGAAAAAGCAGGGAAGCGGCACAGCACACCCTGGGCTCTATCCCATGGCGATGGCTTCAAGGCCACAGAGGTTCCCCGAGGGAAGGCGCACCCCTGCCACCAGCTCCCCGCTACATTGGAACCGTGTGCCTGCGCTCTCGGTTTTCTGACTATTCTTTATTTCTGCCGCTGCCCTGTGCCAGCCCCTCACGCCCGCCCCCGGGACGAGGCGCTGGGCCTCTGAGGGCGCACAGCACGCACGGAGCGCCTCGGCGGGCTGGCTCAGACATCCTCATCCCTGCCTTCACCACCGACACCCAGCAGCTCCCTCCCCGCCAGCCCCTGGGGTGTCCCGGCAGGCCCAGGGCTGACACCCAGGATGCCCGTGGCGCCGCTTACCCGAGCGCCATCAGCTCCCGATCCAGCGGCGCGGCGGGACGCGGCTCCCGGAGCTGGGCCATGGTCCCGCGGCTGCTCCGCCGCCTCGGCGGGGCTGAGGAAGTGCGGGCCGGCACCTCCCCCGCTCCCCGGGCGCGGCCCGGCCCCTCCCGGCCCCTCCCGGCCCGGCCCCCGCCGCCCCGGAGCGCCCGGCCCGAGGTGAGACCCCCGCCCTCGGCAGCAGCGGCCAGAGCCCCCGGCTCCCGGCGGTGCCCGGTGTGCCTCCCACACTGCCAGCGCCGTGGTTTATCGCCTGAATAATTCGTACCTCCCGTCGCTTTAACCTGTCCCTCCCAGAAGTTGGTATTCCAAAGCGTTTCGCTGTCCGCGCGTTTTCCTCCCGCACTCCATCAGTGAACGCCCCTCGCCTCTTCTGTGTCCGCCAAAGTGCTCAGGAGGAAATCTGTGGAGGTGAAATTTGTGGATTTTTCTGTAAGTGTCAGATGTTCAATCCTGTCCCCAGCCAGCCCCCAGAGCCCAGGGGGGCTGTGGCTTGCCCCTCCGAGCGCAGCTTTCCATGGCCGTGCCGCTGGATTGCCAGGGAAGGGGGATGCTGCTTGCCCAGGCGCCCCGAGCCGCTGGTTCCCTGCTGATCCTCCGTGCGGGCTGTGAAGGGGTCACGCTGTCTTTCTGAAACAGGAATAAGAACGTAAACTGCTAGAAATGTACAGCTTCATTCCCTCTTTGGAAGTATCAAGAGCACTGAGCTTTGTGGATGAGAAATTTCTGAGCATTATCTGGTGTCTGTTCTTTCTAATGCTTAAACAATCCCCGGCAATATTAGAGGTTATTTGTATTCCCCAATACTTCATAGACAGTAATTATTGTAGGTGTGGCAGATTCCTTACTAATCTTTTTTGAAAAAAGGACAGGACTACACACACACACACACACACACACACACACACACACAAAAAAAAAAAAAAAAAAAAAAAAAGGGAAATGACAGAATGCTCCTTTCCAGTCATGCTGAGGGTTTTCACCCGGTATCCAGGACTAAAAATCAGCTGTTTCCAGAAAAACTGGTATTTAGAGAGGATAGAACAGATACTTATTTTCCCACAAGCAGTCATGAACTGCATGCTCAGTGTGGAGCTAAGAGTCATTTGGAACAGGATTTTTTAGCCTGCAGATCCTGGTGGTCTTGTGAAATCATTTTTGAAAGAGCTTTTCTAGCCTCCCAAATGGGAAAATCTTCAGAGAGGTTCCATGTGTCAGACCAGACTGTCCTTTGAGTTTCTAATTGTGGCTGCAAGGTGCTCTGCTTCTGTACTTACCTGTTCATGGCAACAGGCAGACATTCAGTTGTAGATAAAGATTTTGCAAATAAGCTGGGAGTTTTTTCCTTACTGGGAAAAATGTAAATTTTTTGTGGGGAAAAATACTTTTTTTCCTTTTTCTGAGTTTTCCCCTTCCTCTATTGCTTGTTGAAAGCTTGTGATCTGATACTCTCTTTGGTAACCTGACTCTGAAATCCACAACATTTAGTTAAATAGATGCTTTGATGTCTACACTGTTTGCTTGTATTTGCTGGATAGACTTATTTATTATTGCTCTCCTGTTCTGCAAGCTGCTGTGTTTGATTCCAGCAGTGATGAACCCATTCCAGGTTATCTTGTCTGTCTTACTGATAGAGGCAGCAAAGCACCTATGAAAATTTCTGGGTTACAGAGGAAAAGGCACAGAAGGAAAAATTAATTGAATTCCAAGCAACAAAGAGCCACAACTAAATTCTAGTAAATTCTACTTATATCACAGATGGTCTTAGGTGGTTTCCAGCCCTTGTGTACACCATTGTGTTTTGTGCACCAGGCTGTTGCGGTGGGAGGGGGTTCCCATCTGGGAGCAGACACTTCCTCTTACTCTGCACCTGAGAGTGCAATGTTTCCTCTTCATTTGTAGAAAAAAAAATTAAAATTAAAAAAAAAAGAAAAAAGAGGCAGAAATTGTACTCTCCTGCGTCAGAGAACGTCTTTCCATTCAATGAAGTGCACTTGATTTTGGGTTTTTGGCACAGGTTAGCCACTGGACAGAAAGGCTACAGCTTGCACTTCCCCAAAGCCGGAACACTTCAGTGTCTGTGTTTTGGTCCTGTTCCCGAGCACGGGCATGCCTGCGGAGGAGTGGTTCCATGTGCAGCGTGAGTGCTGTGCAGAGCAGACCTGTAGATAGCAGCAGTGCTCTGGTGCTTGCAGCTCAGCCCGAGCGCTGCTGGCCACAGAGCACCCCCAAAGGACAGTCTGGCTCTCTACCCATCCCCTCACGGCTGTCAGTGAAAAAACAAAGTGGGATTCAATTTAAAAAACCAATCTCTTCAAGCCTTTCTTAAATAACTTCACCGTCTCACAGGAAAAAAAAAACCCACACCCTTATTGTTTTAAGTTTAAGTCATGAAAAGCAGAAGAACTGCGGCTGTCAAAATGGAGGGTCAATAATGATCAATACATGTGCAAGTGTTCCTTGTGTTGTGTCACACTAGGGTTATTCCAGAATGGAATTTACCAGCAGACTTCAAAACCCAGTGAATGCTTTACAGTGCAGCCACCAGGTCTCTCAGTCCAGCAGGTGTTTGCTTTTATGATAGTGTTTTGGGAAACTGTGTGTTCTGTTTGAGCACGAATTGTGGATTGCTAGGTGAGCTTATATCACGTGTCCGGCAAGGGGTCAGCTCCCAGGATCCTGATGGTTCTTCCAGGTTTTTGAGTTATTATGCAGCAATTGTTTAAAAACTATTTGAAAGGTTTGATTTTTTTTTTTTTTCAGGTAGCTGTAATTTTGTACTTTAAGATATACTAAATTAATAAAGGAGAATTTGGCTTAGATAGGCATGTGACTAATACATAGGTATGATTGCTGCAAAAGTGTAATAAAATAACTCCAGTTACTTGACAGAACGCAGCAGCAAATAATTGAAAATTTAATTTTTTCCCTTTAACTATTTCACATTCTAATAACCTGAATAGATTATAGATAACTGTGAACCATCCAAGCAAAGATGGTCAGTCACAAAGACAGTGATTTCACCCAAATGAAAGTTTAAAACCCCAGAAATTTCACAAAGCCATTGTTAACATGATTGTTAACAATGAGGGGCAGGTTGGGATGGAGCACAGTGGGCACAGGCACAGGTTTCCTACACAACAGAGAGCTGGCCATTGATTTATTACTTTTAAGGTGACTGCATCTGATGATTTTGCAGTGCCCAAGACATCTAATCTCTGTTACATTCAGGTATGACCCCATGGGATTCTGTAGAACCCTCCAAAGCAGCTACAGGAATCTTTCCACTGTGATCAAACACAGGATGCACACTAACATCATCTTCTGAAATTAACCTGATTCTTCCCTTCTGAATGTGGCACAGATTGTCTTGGAATCTTCATTGGAAACAATTGTTATGCTGGAAAACACTTCAGATACTGGTGTTAGCACAGCGATGAGTTTACTTTGTGGATTTGGAGGCACCTAGGGCACGTTTATTCAATGTGTTTCTAATGTCCACAGTCAGCACATTTCCAGAACCTGCCAGCTAGCCCTGTGTTGGCTGCAATCTGTTTCAGACAGGAAACACAGAACAGTGGTGAGAAAAGGAATTTGAAATTACCCAAGTTCCTGGGGGAAAATGGCTTGAAGACAGATTGTGCAAAAGGAAGGGCTGTTCTTGCCCCATTTTCTCCACAGTCTGGGCGGGGCAGGGCTTCTATAGCCAAAGATCACACTAGTTGTGTTGCTGTCAGGGCTCATTCCCCAGACTTGGATTAGGAACACGTCTCCACCTAGGCACAGCAAGAGGTGCAACAGCTCCCAAGCCTTTGTGGAGTTTCCTGCTAAGTAGGCTAGGCCCAGCCATGTCCCAAAGGAATATGATTAGGTATGGGATATTAATTTAATAATAATAATTAATTAGATTTAATAATATTAATCAAGGAAATATTAATTTAATAATCCAGCTTTATAAGTCTCTTAACTCTGCTCTTAGTAAAAAAACTAGCATTCTTCCTACTCTTCATGATGTGACTTTTAGAAGTTATGATTTCTAACATCATGCACTTTCTCCTCTTGTTTGCTCTAGGAAATTCAGCTACTCCTCTAGGGCTAAGTACAGGAGGATTTTTTTTTTTTTCTGGGTTCTGAACTTAAACAGGGACACAGAAATAAGTACAGGAAGTTTCCCTTGATGCTTGCTAAATTTTTTCCTAGTCCTTGATTGCTGTGTGCATAACCAGGAGCTGGAGCATGTATATTTTGAGATGATGGTGGGAGATTAAATGCCTCTAGCTAGAACAGCTGTGTTATTGCACATGGTTTGGTTTTCACAGTTTCAATAATGTGGATAATGATGGGAAGATTATGTGTTTCCACTTTCAGTTCTACAAGGAAAACTTTCTAGGAACTTTGTCAGTCCACTTTTTAATGTATGTGTGTGCATGTGTGCTTGAAGCCTTCAACACGTTTTTCATGTCTTCTTAGACACAGCCAAAGTCTCTTCAAAACTTCCCACTTTAGAGCAGTGTCATAGACTCTGAATAGATGTTGTGCAAAAGTTTTTCCTCTCCAGCCAAACCCCAAGAAATAAACCCAAACACCTAGAAATTATCTTTAAATTAGAAAACATGGGTTTCAGCAGCTGTTAGTGGCAGCAGACGTGAGGAGGTGGGGGAGAGCAGCTCTTGTTGCCAAAGGCCAGGGTGAGGGGCAAGGCTGGACAAAGGCAGCTCCTCTTGTTGGCCACATGGTGCCTTGAGCCAAGTGACCTGCTGGTGGTTCAGCCTCTTTCCGAGAGGAATCAGAGCTGGCTGGCAAGTCTGCGCTCGGAGCTTACCCAGTAGTTACAGATGCAGAGAGGAGGAACCTCTCCAGATTCCAGGTGGGGAGGTGCTCCAGGGCTGGAGACCTGAATGTCCCCATAACTCTGTCCTGCAGCAGAGCCCAGCATGCCAGCTCACCTCTGTTCCCAGCTCCTCACAGATGGCATTACAGTCCCCATGGTCGAGCCTAAGGTAGAGACTGCACCCAGAGCAGGACTGGTGTCCATCAC